CCGCGCCGAAAGAACAACCACACACAGAAGTAAACAAATATAGACACCACGGGGTTATCTAGAGAGCGCATGTCCGATAGCGTGATTAAGTAAGGGAAGGGCTGGTCATGTTGCGCATGTGTCGACGAAGAGTGGGTTTATATTAGCCTGTTTGCTCAGGGAATAAACAGTTATAAGTGAGCGCTTGTGGTGTCCATATTTGTTTCTTCCTGTGTGTGGTTGTTCATTTCGGCGCGACGTTGAATATTTGCTGAAGACATGCACCAACTAGTTCTACTAAAAGGAGGGACATCGTCCCGTTAACCAGGCTGGTCAAAGCGTTTCTTTTTATAACCTTGCTGTGATGTTAAAACCGGAAGACAAGAATCGGTCCAGTTGGAGTTGTACTGACTGTAAAACATGGCGGCGAAAGCGAGGGACTGTACTCTTGTCTTTGTGTGTATTTTTTCACGCTATGCTTTCTGACGACCAGTAGGAACAACGATTTCCGTAGATTTGAATCAATTAGCAGTGGCGATTGGCGTGGGCCATCATGGTGGCGCTGGCGGCACACAGCATAAAAGTGAAACCAGAAAGGTGACGAAATCGCCCCAGAACAAAAGCACTCGACGCATCGCAGGAGGCCTGTTTGGCGACCTGCGCGAAGACTTTATAACGAGAGCCGCCGCTGCAGTATCAAAAACAAGATACGAAATAGAAGGAACCTGCTGCGAGTGCAAAGAAAAGGACGAAACTCGAAACACGGCGCTCTCAAATTGAAGGGGAAAGAGGATAGGGGCGAGGGATGAGAAAAACAAAGGGCGGGGAGGCGTGCGTTAGGGGCGAGAGTGAGCTGGGCCGTCGTCTCTCTTCTGTATTCTTCCCTCTGCCACGGTCCCTTTTTTTTTTCTTTCTTCTATTTGCGAACCGGTTTGACCGGTGCGAACGAGGTCTCCGCGACGGACGCACGGCAGCTGCCCAAGGCGCTGGTGAAACCTCTCTCTCAAGGACCACAAGGCTAGGCAGCCGGCCCTGCGAGCGAGCCAGCGGCCGCGCAGCGGCTGGAGAGCCGCTGCTACTTTTCTACCGGGAGTAGATGCATCGGCTGCTCCTGGTACCCGATGCTACTCCTCAAACCGAGGTGGCGATGCCAGCGAGGCCGTGTTGGTGGTGCCGGCATATGGGGGATGTTTCGCCGAAAAGCGCCTAAGCCGCCGCCTGATAGAAGATAGCACTGCTATTCACTAGGGAGGGGGAGAGAGAAACATGGAGAGGAAAGGCAAAGAGGTTAATTAACCAAGGTTAGCTACCCTACGCTAGAGTTCTTGTATGTGCTAATACTAATAGATGCAGTGACATTAGTAATAGTACTGTACCACTAATATGCTATAGTCACTCTAGTCTACTATCGGGGGGCACTCGACGCTGAACGACTGGAGCACTCCACCACATGAAGTGTAGAAAAGCTACTGAGGTGGCGATGCCAGCGCGACCTTGCGGATCGCGCCGGCAAATCGCGGTTGTTTTGCCGGAACGCGCCGACGCGATCGCCCGAGAGAGACTGGCACTCTGCGCTGCTAGCACTCCTTTCCACCAAACTTGTCGCAGGCAGTCCGCAACAGGCTGGGGAGTTGCGCGTGCGTGCCACCGACGTGAGAGGGGCGCGCGATTCGCACGACGCCTGCTTCGTGGAACCGGTGTCGCGCGCGCCAAGCGCGCATTGCTCAACGGCCGCCGAGGAGAAGCGAGTGCGCAAGCAGTCACGTCCGTTGTAAGCCTTTGTGGCCGTATAACCTGCACAAGCCGACAAGGCTGATACCGCAGCATTCGAGTTTGCGGCAAAAGGGCCGTACCTTTCGGCCGTAGCGCTCTAACAGCCTTATTTGGCGTTATAGTCCGGGTCTTACGTCGGGGTTTACGCATGTCCCGTACTCGTTTAACGTTTAATGGTGACTATATTGGTGTAAATTGGAAGAACCTTTCTGTGGAGACAGGTCACCACTGGTTGGGCCGGACGGGCCAAGTCGCGTTGTGCGCCTGCCTATGTGAAAAACCTGGCACCAAAGCGCAGTGTCGTACTTTATTTTGTCTGCACTATAAGGACACATAGCATCTATGTGCAGGCAGGCGCCGGGATACTGGACGCTGTCGCTCAGCCGCATTGTATAAGAGCATATGGGTACTTTCTTTTGGTTAGTAAAATGTGTTGTCTCGTGCCTCGCCGATAAGACGGCTTGTTGCGCTGCAAAAGCACATGGCGACATGAGGATGGGTTGCAGTGGCCGTGACGTAAAACTCTTCGCAGCACAAACGTTCTATAATGAAGAAAGCACGTAGACATCGAGGAAAAGAAAACATCGTGTCTTGTGGTCTCAGACAGTAACATTCCTATACAAACATGCTTTTTTTTACAATTTTAGCCGTTTATATATATATATATATATATATATATATATATATATATATATATATATATATATATATATATCTTAGAAAAGACTACGAAATTAGAGAGACGTCTGGGCAAAGGTCATTGCACAGACCAGTAGGCGGTGCCAGGATGGTGCAGTACAGTCCCTCAGTGGCTGCTGCCTGTCAGCTCTGGTTCGCGAGTGTCCGGCTTTAATTATCTCTAGCGAACACTGGGGGGCGCACAACCGATGCCTCGTCAGCGCCCGCTGTCACCGCAGCTGCCGCTGGTGTAGTAGTCTCACCTGGCTTGGACAGAATTGTGTCGTCTGGGCGCGGCTTATGAACGCAAAGGGCTTGCCACGACCGAAATTCAGGGCGCTTATTAGTACGTTCGGAGACTCGACCGTGCGGCGAAGGCAGTGAATAGAAGACCCGGAGATGTGCTTGGGCAGCGGTATTAGCTGACGTTTGTGTTGACAATAGTTATTTAATGTGCCAGGTACTAAAAAAAAATATGGGTGGAGGAAAAATGGCGTTTTTTTGTTTATGAAAACCAATTATCGGAAGGATGCTGATCAACGAGATTTCACAATACCCGTCACCCTATGACATGGGAGTCGGCCAGAATTTCGGTGTTGAGTGTTGCAGAGTTGTGTTCCATCGCTAGGGGGAGAGGAGGGATGTGCAAGGGTTTCCAGTTACCCCCCTGCCGACGCCCATGCCAGTGATAATGTACTTCTGCTGTGGGTCCTGCTTTTTTCATGTGCCGCGGAAACTGGGGAAGAAGCTGTCCTTTGATACGATATTTCCGTTAGATATTGACTCTAGCTAGCCTTTTATGTGTGGTATTTATGTTGAGGCCTTAAACAGTGACGCATGGACAGTTCCCACTCTTTCTCGTGATGATATCGTGCAAGTTAATGTTACTTATTGTTGCACTGACCGAGCGTGCGTTGCCGTGGTCGGCACCAGCGCCCGTCCGAAGGTTCGGGGCCTCCGAGATTCGAAATTCTGCGCGCTCGCTCCCATTTTGGGCCGCGTCGAACCGGTGTCCATTGTTGCGGCTCTCCGCACACTCCTGGCGTCGTCGGCGTGCATAGTGTTTCGCTCTACCTACCGCGACCTCCGCCGCCAGACGGCGCATGCAGGGGAGGCGCTGCCGTCGCATCAACCACACTGTGCAGCCAGCGTAGCGCGCAAAGACACAAAGAACAGGACAAAGAAACCGTCCCGAGAGAAGGAGAGCTAGAGGCGGCACCTGTCGCGAAAAAAAGCAAAAATAAAAAATAAACTGCGTCTTCTTGCCCCCGCCAATACCGCGGTTCTCCCTTTGCTGATTCTGGTTTTACCACCTCCGCGCGGTGCTGCCTCCCTCTCTCTCATTATGATCATTTTTTTTTTTACTACGCGCGTCGTCCCTGGCACGTACCCAACGTTAGGGCGCCAAGTTTTCGAACGGGCTCCCTTCGGAGGACGCATTCGAGTTGGCACGCCCGGGGAGGCGACGACGCGTTGCTCACAGCAGCCTGCTTGGCGCATGCGCGCACCGGACCTGCCTTTGAAATGCGTATAAACGGATGTTGTCTTTCAGCGTTTTCTGAAGATGCGATAAAGAACGCGTAACGGTGGTTGCTTCGTCTTCCCGTTGGACGCTCGCACCACCTTGCTTGTTGCCTTGGCAGCAGCTTTACTAATGCCGAAAGTGTTCCCATAGATGAGTGTGTGCGAAAATAGAACGGCAATAAACTGTCAGAAACAGCCACAGCGTTGCGTATCACAGCTACGTACATTGCTTGCCGCCCGTCCACTGAAGCTAGCATCATTGAAACAGCTTTTGGAGGATCCAATAACTTGCGCTAGTAAGTTGTGCGACGAAGAAAGCCTGGGGTGAAGACGAATACACTAGTAAGAGTTATACTAGTTAATAATACCTCAGCACTGGTATTCCACGTATCCGCAAGCGTACGGAGCTGAGCTGTGCTGTTGTGGTCCTGGTGTACTCATCACAGCTCGAGTTCTCGTAACATTTATGAAACCCGAGCAACTTCAATGATATGAACCTCCCACAACACATCGAAGGAAAGAGGTTACTAAGTGACGAAATTACGCCATTGCAACTCTGGGGTGCTTGTACCTTGGGTTACATTAACTATTATGTGAATGTCCAGTGCCAGTAAGTCTCTTGAATTCAATTTAAATAATATAGACATGAGTTATATGTGGTGGCGTAAGAAATGTAATCACCTTAAGCTCTATAATATGCCGCGTATTCGTGCATTCTAATGTACCTGCAAGGTACTTTGTATATATTGTTAAGATAACGAAGCCGCTGTTATATTGGCTGTGGAGTGGGATCACATTTGCAATGACATGCTTCCCTTTTCCTCGGGTTCCCACTAGAACTCGAGAAGCCGTAGCTTCAAAGCACAAGTGCTGACATTTTCCGGTGCGCAGGAAGTCACGTGTAGCACCTGCTAGCTTTTTCGGAAAAGTGCGATCAAGCTTAGGGTTTAAGCTTAGGCCGTTTGCCAGATGTGTCCGGTTGTCGGCGATGTTTAACGCTCGATGCTAACGGAGTCCTGTCTTCTTTCATTTCTCGCTCTGTGCAGAGTGCAGCAGCTCCCATCGCCCCGCCTTTCCATGTGAGCGCCATGTTCTCGGAGGCGCAGCCACGTGGAATCAAGCGCAAGGCGCACTCGCTCGACGACTTCTCCGATGGTGGAGGCCTCGACGAAGAGGACGACGATGAAGAGGAGGAAGACTCGAGCTCTTCCAGCTCCTGCTCGTCGGCCAGCTCGACTACTGGCGGTGGCTCGTCGGGCGAAGGACGCCCGCTCGTCGTATTCGCGCCGCCAGCACGTGGTGTTCAACATGAGCATCTGCAAGCTGGCCCGCTTCCGACAGGCGCCCGACCCGAGCCTCCTCCGCTCGGTGCTCGTGTGCAACACTCTGCGGGCGCTCGAGCGGGACATGAGGCCACCCAGGGGTCCCGAGCCGGCGACGCTTCCCACGGCATCCGCCGCCTCGCCCCACCACCCTCATCACCACCACCACTCGCCTCACCACCACCATCACCACCACATGCACGGCGCCAGTCCCAATGGAGGGCTCGGCAACGGTCACCACCACCTATCGCCGCACCAGCCGTACGGCGCCGCGACGCCCTTCCACAATGGCGGCTACGGCGACGACTACGATCGGTCGTGCCCTCCTCCTGGAGACAGCGGTCGCTTGACGCCCTTTGTCCGGTCTCCTGCCGAGCCGCCGGTTTCCGGGCCACCCCCCACGCCCATGTGGACCGACGAGGACCGGTTACCGAGCCTGAACTGGAGCTCGGTGCTCAACTTCGGCAGCGGCGCTCCCGCCACACCGCCGGCACCCACGGTGGCCGAACCTGTGTCCTCGGCGTCGGCGTGCGGCATCGCCGACCCCGGGTGCGGCAACGGCGGCGGCAACGGTTCCGCGCCTCTCTACACCCTGCTGCCGGCTCACAACTCTCCCGCTGCCGCCATGGTGGTCACTTCCTCGTCAGCCTCTTCCTCGGTACTGCAGACGAGTCCTTCCTCTTCCTCGTCGTCGCTGGCCAGCAACAGCAACAGCAGTGGCGCGAGTAGCAGCAGTGACGAGATCTTCGGCGATATCGACCTGTCCCTGTACGACTTCGACCTGCTCTCGCCCCTATCGCCGCCGCATGTCAAGCTTGCGCCGGTCAGCGCCGAGGACCTGATGCGGTCACTGGCCGCGTCTCAGCAACAGGCGGCCGACTGCGTGGTCACTACCACGGCCGCGTCGCCGTCGGCCGCCACCTGTCAGCTGGTGGCCTCTTCGGGCCAGCAGGTCAGCTTCGGCTACAAGGGACTGATGTGCTCAGCCGAGGACCACGTCGCCACCGTCATGTCCTGAGGGGGGAACACCACCATCGGTTGAGTGCGGTTGGTCGTCGTTTTCGGAGAGGCCTTTTCTCGTCTTCTATAGCCTCTTGCTCCTAACGCTCTCCTGAGGACAGCGCTTGCTTTGTGTACATAGGACAGTCGAGAAAGAAGCGTTGGGGGAAGCGAGTGGACTATATCGCGCTGAATCATCATCTAAAGAGTGCCGACATTCACGTTGCCAAAGAGTCGCGACAGCTCATAGTGTCTCTTGCGGGGCCGTATGCTGCTGCTGCTGCAAGGAGTACCTTGCTCGTCGTGGTCGGGTCGTAGGTCATCCGGCTCAATCCGAGAACGGATGGGGCTTACTAAGCTGGTGATATAGCTGCTTTCAAATGTAATTCACAGGATCGAGAGGCAGGGTTGGTCAAAGATTCGAACGCGTCTTGAGACCTCATATGGCTCATCAAGCCGGACTAGCATGATACGACCGGGCGACGGGTGCCTCTGGGGATTGTACGCAGGCGACGAGTTCTCTAACGGCGCCCTTGTGCTGCATAGGTCTTCTTGAATCAAGTAACGGGCTTCTGTCACGCTGTACGCCACCTAGTCTCTACTCACGCATCGGTGGTCCGCCATCGTATGCTTTTGTACTATGGTATAAGCTCCAATTTACGCCTGAAAAGCTTGCCGAAGTGGCGTCACAGCAACAAGTTAGTTTAAAGGTTGCGTTGGTAAGAAATTCGCCGAAGCTCATCCATGTCGCATGGATGTTATAACAAATGCTCGCTTGTTAACCAGTGAGCAAGAAATTAGGAGACATGACAAGTTGAAACAGTGGTGCGGAATAGTCCGGCACATTCCCATTTGTAAACGAAAACGGATGGAGCAGAAACGCCGAGGGGGCGAGGAGAATGCAGTGGCACCAACTACTGGCCACGGCAAGGGTATACCCACCGCCTCTCTCTTCGAATCGGGCCGACTGCTTCTTCTTATGCTTTTTGTTTTTTCACATAACCCCGAAAAACCGGGCTCTCGCATCGTCGTACCCTTCTCTCGACGGCGGGGCGGGAGTAGGTTGCGAGCAGAGCGACGACCGCCGCAGCACAGAGATGGCGCGACGTTCGCCTGAGACATCGCCCGCAAACCTCTTTTTCTCCTCGTCCTCCTTCGCTCCGCTTTTCTCTTCGCGTGTCTCAGAGGCACTCGTCGGTCTCCTAGACCTCTCGCGAGTGTTGTGCCGCGTCTCGGCGGTTGGGCTTTCCAATTTCGCGCGGCGGGCTTTGCGCCTTGGCTGCCGCCGTCTTTCGTTGATTGTTTTTTTTTCTCTCACTCTACGTATGTGCGCGCCATTTCCTCTTACGCGACTAAATGTGGTGCTGGCTTCCAAGCCATCTTTATCGCTCGGTGTTCTTTTATTTCTTCAATAATTTACCGCGTGCTTATTTCGTGTCACTCTGGAGCACCTGCTATAAATGAGACCCGCATTGGTGACAAAACAGTGGTTACGAAAACAGCAAGCGCTCTCGGCTTGCCGAGTTGTGCTGTTACATTCCAACAGACATAGAACGCCGAATGTAAGCAATATGTAAACGAGCTTTAAAACAGTTCGTTTGAACTTGTTTCGACCGACCTCAAGTGACCGTCTCCAAGTGTATCCGCAGTTAACGCGTTAAAGTGCATCGCAGCTAACTGGATGTCAACCGGACAGGTGCTCCGCAAGACGTGCTATTAGGTTACGAAGACGCTGCCCCCGAGCATCGCCCGGAGTTTTCGCTTATCAGCTTCTGTTCCACAATTAGCAGGTTACGCAAGTGTTTGCCACGATACGCGGTCTCTCGGGGGTCGCCGGTGACAATCTGGGGGCACAGATGAGTGATCTACGGGTAGTCCCTCGGATGGCACGCTTTGTGTCTTCCGAGATGGGTGGAAGAAGTGACACCCTCCTGACTCCTTGCGCGCTCTCCTATGCGCATCATCGTCGTCCAGTATTCGTCTTTATTATTTTTCTTTTGAGGGTGCGAAATGCGTTCTTTCCGCGGCCTTATACAATAACTAGCGCGTGTGACTTACCGTTCAGAAGCGAGCGCCATCTATCGTGTGTCTCCGAAACTTGCGTGCGCATTCTGAGTAGCCTTTGCATGCCTGCCGTTGGTTGCACGTTCAGCTTACACGAGAGTTGCGTCGTCCGAGCTTCCGCGTGGACTCTGCCAGGGGCGAGAAAAAAGTATAAAAAAGAGGGTTGGGTGGGAGAGGGTTGGGAAAGTCGGGTAAGCAGCTATTGTCGGTCGAGCACAACAGCACTGCACGCTGTACTGGGAAGAACAAAAAAAGGTGCACGCGTTACGGCGTGGAACCTCCTCAATTCGTCACCGTTTCATTTTATTTCATCAAGGATGCACACTTGTAGACGTGTGGAACATTCCCTGGAGCTAACTGTAGAGTCCTTTCTGTGTGCACGGAGTGTTCCGAATGAGGACAGCCCGAAAGTTATTTCTGTTTCGTTAAATACGAGGGCTAATTGGACACCAAACTCCAGGAAAACAAAAATAGCGCTTCGCGTATACGTTACTCCTTAACGCGACGTGAAAACCTTCTCTGGAAATCACTGCAATCTCGTCGCAGAGTGAGACACGCCCTAAAAGAGTTAGCCAGCCTCCTTAAAGGGAGTCATACACGTGATCAGTCGGCACTCCCCTGAACGGTTTTTTTTTCCTTCTCTGGGGTGGCCACGATACGAACAGAGGAGAGGTAAAACTAAAGTGCATCCTTGCTTCCCCACTTGTAGTGCAGTGCGAAAAGTTTCGCTGGAGATCACGAGAAACCTGGCAACTGCCGAAACTCGACTTGGGGGGGGGGGGACATATTATTGTGTTTGTGATAAAAAAAATAGAAAACAAACCCCGTTTAACTGTGATAGGACGCATGAACTCTCTCGGACCACGCAACTTTTAAAGCAAGAGGGAAATAAAAAGGCACTGCGTTATTGCGCTCCGTTGCCAACAGCAGCGACCACACGGCAACATTTGGTGGTGTTGTACATACTGTATGATGTTTTTTTTTTTAATTTTTATGCCCCAATCTTGCCGCACATTTTTTTATTTAGTATCCTTGTTGTGCTTTTGCCGATAGAGAAGAGTATTATCATTCTTATGTCACCATTGTGCATGTTTGCTCTCTTCGGCGAAGTATTATTCACATGTGTATATATCTGTGCGCGCGTTCACTTGTTTTATTGATTTTTTTTTGCCCCCGGCAATCATTCGTTGTTTCCAAAAACGTGGCCGTACGAGATCGCCTTGTATATATGTAGTACGTGTGTATGTGACACTGTACGCGAGGTTTCGCACTGTTCGTGTGATTGTGTTAAGGCAGGCTCGGCGCTGTAGAAAAGTGCTGCCAACTCTCGAAATGCTTCTAATAACTTCTCGTTCTGCTTTCTATCGACATGTGTCCTAACGAGTCCCACAATAAATTTTTGGGTTTCATCAAAATTTTCAAGATTTGGTTGAGAAAGATTAAATAAATCGTTAGTTTGTAAAGGTGGACAGTGCGACTTTGATGGCGCTCTCAATGCTAATATGGAACAAAAGATAGCCTAAAGTGTGTTGAACAATTTGTTGGTGTGCAGCCACATTAGGCTTAATAAAAAAAAACTTTGGCGGACAGCTTGCGTCAAAAAATTTTCAAAATTGGGAACATGGAGTGTCAATCGAGGGCTTCCAATATATGCTCTCTATTGAGTTTACCCAGAACGGAGGTTGAGGAGTCTCTTTTCGAGATTTGGCAGGTTGTGCACTGTGAAAGCTGGCCAGCCTGTTTTACTATGATGTGTTTTTTTTTCTTTTATTACCCCCCCGCGACAGCTCAAGTTAAATATTGAATATAAACGAAATCCTATGGAGACGAACTGAACCTTCACCTCGAAAAACTTTCGTGCTCATCATCACTTTTTTTTTTTACGCGGACCACAATAGAAGTTTCTCGCGTGTTCGCGCTCATTTGTTTGCGCCAAAATTAAGCTTCATCGGGGAGATTGCATTGTTATACGATGCGGCATGGAGACACGGCATCACGATGCTCTTCATTAGAGGCAGGCAAAAACTGTGGCAGCCAAAAAAAAAAAAAACGAGGAACACCGAACTCACAAACTGAACCATTAACACGAACATTACTGCGTCTTTCCAACTTTGGTTTTACGCGATGTAGTCTGAAAGAAAAACGGTCGCTCACACTTTTCTTCGAGGAGTCAGCGCCACATTTTTCGTTTTCGTCACTAAGCTATGAAAAAAAAATTGAACGTTCGTACAAATTTTAAGAATAATCTATTTAACTGAAGCTGTCGACTATACGCAAGTCACACCGACCTGTCCGGTCAGTTACAGGTGCACGATAATCACACCATGGTGCAATGCTTTGTATCTCATTTGCGATATACACTTAATGAACTGTAATTGCAGAGGCAATTTTTTTTTATTTGTCGCGATTCTTTTTCCCCCGCTCTTTATGTGGCTAATTTCATAGTTTTAAACTTTCCCGCTATGTTAGTCAACGCTACATTGTTGATATACCTGAGACAGGCAGTCAGTGCTAGGATATTTGCTCACATTTGTTGTTCTTGTTTACTTAAATGATTTAATGTACGCGGCGGCTCCTAGCGGAGTCGGGTATTAAAGTGCATGCAGTGCCAACTACGTTAAATTGATCTGTAAAGAACGTTTCCACGGCTTCCCACATACACAAGTGACGGCCTCTCGACAGCTGGCCAGACAGTGACCACCACTATCCCTTGTGCCGAGTCCACTTTCTGTTCGGGAACGCAGCATTCAGCCTCGACAATGTCTTCGAGGAGCACGCCAGAGGTCCTGCTTCACTTGTAGGTTCGCTTATGTCAACACGAGGAGGCAAGGCCGCTTAAGGTGACTGTTTAACAGCTCTCCGTTGTGTGTAGCGCCCGGCATGAAGGAAGATAAGTGGCACTGATGTCGGAAATCACGCTTTTCAGAGTCCCCACCAATGACGCACGCCCGTTTCAACAAGACGCGACGACAGCGCCGCCATTCGCCGTTTACCATCGCGCAGCCCGGGCTATACCTCGGCGAACGACCCGAAAGAGCCTGTTCTCGCCACCGCTGGTGTTACTGTCGCTCTTTCAAGACACGCAACGCCAGCCCCAGATTTCAGTGTCTCGCCAGGGAAGGTGAAAACTCGTCCCCTACAGGCAGCACCGCAATTTAACCACACTCCCTTGAGAGCCACAAACTTTCATAGGTAACGAAAAAGGCTAACACACACACACACACACACTTTCTCAATCAGCTCCAGTCTGTCGTACTTCTGCTGTCTCTGCATGATGCGAAATCAAAGCTTTCAATCAGTGCGCCTAAAGAAGGAGAAAAAAAAAACGCTTCTTGCGAGAGCAATAATGTTGCTGCACGCACTATTGGCGTTGCCACCCGTGTACAAGTAGTTATCGCAATAAAATGCGGGCGCCTCGGTTATTACATGAGACATCTCAGTTGAGGGCAATACAAACCGCGCTTAATCGTGAGTTACGCGATATACCTGACCCGTTTCGCTTTTCTTATCTAAGTTGGGTTAGCTAGGAAGGATTTTGGTCGTGTAAGAGATAAGGCTGCCCCTTTATGTTCGATTTCCAGCACCGCGTGGTTGGCTATAATGCCACCATCTAGCCTCCTCGTAGCACAGTTCTTAGAAGTTTGCGTTCACATCGAACGTATCTGTGGAAGAAGTCCCCACTTCCAGTGGAATCATTCGTGAATCGGGCATACGAACGGAGTTTCGGGTCACGAATTTTAAATGCAGATTACTGGAGTTGCCTGGCTTAACAGCAGACAAAATGCCCTTACGACAGCAAGCCAGAAGTGACACTACCGAAAAAGGACTTGGTCTTAGCTGGAGCGCTATTTCGTTCACGGGGACTTGACTAGGTTGTTTTTTGCGAAGTCTTTCATTGACATGTTTCATTCATTCGCTGTCGTTGCGCTTAGCTTGAAGCAATTCTCATCTGGTTGTAAGGGTTGTGTATTTTAGCATTTCTGACACTAATTCAGAGACAGTTTTGGAGGTTTCGGCCATTTTTGTACGCCGAAAGCTCGCCATGCTAGCAAACGTCACACGCTTCGTATTCTCAATGTGCTCGTCTCTTTATTAGCTGGACAACATTGTACTGCGATATCAGATAGCGGGCACACACCGAAAAACGACTTAGAACTCTTAAGCGAAGAGTGCCCGGACTGAAACTAAATTGGAGTTAAATACGTAGGGAATATGGGGAACGGCGTTAGCGTCATGAGGAAGTGCCTTTGAGCTCGCAGACGTCGACAGATGAAGGAGGGATAGACTGGAAATTGTGTTAGTGAGGGGATACTGTTACGTTTCGTAACGTAGAAGCAGAGAGCGCCTTCGAGCATGCTGCGGTCATTTCGCGACAAGCGCGCAAGCCAGCGCTATTTTAGACTCCTACAGCGCATGCGCAGATGAAACCTCGCATGGCGATGTCTCGCGCCGCCAGGGTCAACCTGAACACAATGATCTCAAGTGCATTAAAGGAACAAGTGTGTGAACGATCATCAATGCGCACAGCTGCTCTTCTCCGCCTCTTCTCGAACCATCCGCACGCTTGTTATATTCAGCCGGACATCTGAATTGGCCCGGGAATCGCCGTTTTAACTCTCGATAACGTTTTTGCCTAGTGCACATCACGTTGCAGGTAGATCTCCGCATTAGACTTTGTGGAGGCCGCCTGTGCAGCAGGGTTCGGACATGTGTAAAGCGTCTGTGCACTTCGTGAAGGAATAATTGATGGCATCAGCTACGGCGAGACTGTTTTTTTTTTGAAAATTTTTCCCGGTAGCATTATTGCAAGCGATATGGCGACAGTGAGCAGCACTTCGTCACCGTTTAACAGCAGCTCAGTTACATCAGTCAGCTAAGGACGTTGGTTGTGTCCGATTGTATTACTAAGTTCTGCGGCAGAGACGCTGCTGCCTGGTGCTCGAGGCATGTCACAAGTCAGTGGCCGGCTGGCGGGGTGTCGTTGCTAGAGAGGTAAACATGCCGGGCGATGTGTCATGCGCGTGTCATACGGGAGGACTCGGGGCGCCAGGCGAGATACGTAAAGGTTGTTGCAACAAGGGGGGAAAGATGAGAGTTGACAGTGAATCTCGTACGCCCAAACAAGGAGGATTTAGTTAACACTGAAATGGCAGATTTGTGCAATTTGTTGCGACATTCATTTAGTGTTTGCGGGTCAACAAGGTATCCGGGCAACAACACGCTCCCCTTACTATCCAGTCCTTGAGCGTCCCTTCCTGTAGGCAGTGTGGGAAAAAAAAAAGCAACCACGAACTTGGCGCTGAAATCGACATATGCATTGTGGATCGGCGGTACACCGAATCTGATTCGGCCTTCAAGTCTGGGTCTGGTTGCCCAAAGCGACATTGCTCCGAACAAAGTCGTACCTGCGATGTTTTCGCACCCCGCAGCGTCTATCCGTGATCGCTCAGCGATAACACCGGTTAGCCCAGCCAGCGCTTCAGACGAGTAAGCCCAGCCAGCGCTTCAGACGCTCAAAACACAATATTTCTTCCGGAAGTCGCTCACGTCAGGCCTGTGTTCCGTTCGCATTTGCTCATTAGCCAGTCGTGCACTCGCTCTCGCGTCGCTCAAGCAAT